TGACTTAAAGTCTGTTTTATCTAAGTATAGCTACTCCTACTGGCTTTTGGCTTCCATTTGTGTGGAATATCTTTTTCCACCTCTCTACTTTCAGTCTTTGTGTGTCTTTACAGGTAAGGTGAGTTTCTAATAGGCAGCATATAATTTGATCACATTTTTAAAATTCACTCTATATCTTTTAAGTGGGGCATGTAACCCATTTACATTCAAGGTTAATATTGACATATGAGGCTTATTCCTGTCATACTGTAAATTGTTTCCTAGTTTTATAAATTCTTTGTTTCTTTCTTTTTCTTTTTGTGGTTTGAAGAAATTCAATCAAGTTGCTGTCTGAGTCTTTTCTCTTCCTTATGTGATTGTTTTATAAGTTCTGGAGTTTTATGTTTTTATGTGTTTTATCAACCTTTTGTTTCCAGACTCCTTCGAGCATTTCTTGTAGGGCTAGCCTAGTGGTGACGAATTCTCTCTGTGTTTGTTTGAGAAAGACTGTATTTCTCCTTCATTTATAAAGCTTGTTCTAGCACAATATGAAATTCTTGGCTCACAGATTTTTTCTTTCAGTACTTTGAAAATGCTTCCCATTCTCTTCTGGCCTGCAAGGTTTCTGATGAGAAGTTCACTGTTAATCTGAGGGGATTCCCTTTATAGGTGGCTAGATGCTTTTCTCATGCTAATTTTAAAATTATTTCTCTCACTTTGACTTTATACATTCTGAATATAATATGCTATGGTGAATTCCTCTTTGCAATGTAATTAATTGGCTGGGATAGCTGGGCCTACTGTATCTGGATGTTGAACTCTCCTGATAGATTTTGGAAGTTTTATTTACTTAAATCGTTTATCTAAGCTTTTTGATCTCTATTACTCCTAAGGAATACCAATAATTTGTAACTTCAGTTGCTTTATGTAGTCCCAGATGTCTTGAAGGCTTTGTTCATCCTTTTTCTTGATTTTTGTCTGACTGGATTATTTTGAAAGACCTGTCTTCAAGTTCCGAAATTCTTTTTTTCTGTTTCATTTAGTCTATTATTGAAGCTTTCAAATGTATTTTCCTTATTGAGTTTTTCAGTTCCAGAATTTGTTTTTCTTTCTTCTTTCTTTCTTTGGTAAGATATCTATCTTGGTAAATTTCTTATCCATATCTTGAATTGATTTTCTGATTCTTTCACTGGTTTTCAGATTTCTCGGTGAGCTTCTTTAAAATCAACACTTTGAATTTTGTATCTGGCATTTCAAGTTCTTATTGATTAAGATCTGTTGCTAGACAACTGTGGTCCTTTAGTGGTATCATATTTCCTTGCTCCTTCTGTTATATGCGCACCTGGTGTAGTAGTCACGTCATCCAATATTTTGAAATTGCTTTCATAGGAGAGAATTTTTTCCTAAAGACTTACATATATTGTTGTTGAGTAGGGCAATTTGGCTTTGATTGTTGGTGTCTGAGTAGTGTGATCTTTATATGGTTTCTTCACCAGTACACAGGGTGAGTGCTAACTGATTTCCTTGTTGGCTTAGGGTATGGTTATTAGTTGAGGTTGTAGTGAAGTTTTGGCAGGGACTTAGATACCAACTGAACTAGTCTTTGTGCCCTGGTGGTGGCAGTGGTGGGCTGAGTGTGCCCGTTTTTAGACCCCAGAACAACACTGGCGTTAGTGGGTGCTGGAGGACCAGTTCTTGGACCTCCAGGTGGCTTGCTTAGAAGTTAGTAGTGGGAGATATGAGCTCATTGTATGGGCGGGTTCTCGGGTCTCTGGGCAGTTGGTGTGATGTGGATGATGGCAGTAGCAGTGGTGGAGCAACCCACTGGGCCCAAATGGTCTGTGTTGGTATTGCTGGTAGCTGTGATATGTTTGGCATATTAGTCTCCAGTTCCATAGGCACCCGAAGCAAGGGTATGGTCCTAAGTGTGCTTAGGAGAGCCTGGTCTTCTTTGTACCTCCCCAGCTGGGTGGCAGCTACAGCCACATTGCCTTAAACTCAGAGGGCACAGCTCCGTGTTAAACTCTCAAAATGGTATTGGCTGTTGGCCTGTGACCAGAGAGAGCAGGGCCCTGCTCAGGCAAGTGGCAGCTGAGATTTTGATAGGGATTGTATTGACTATGTAGATCAATTTGGGGAGTATTGTTATCAGCTATGCAATTTGCAAATATTTTTTCCTAGTCCATGGCCTGTATTTAATTCTCTTATCAGTGTCTTTTGAAGAGCAGAAGTACTTAATTTTGACCAAGCCGATTCTGTGATTTTTTTCTTTTTTATGGATCATGCTTTTGATCAGGTGTTTTAAATTTTTCTTTATATAAGTTCTGCATATTTGTTAGTTTCCCCCACCCTATGGCTGCTATTTTAAATAGGAGTTTCTCCTTCATTATATCTTTTATCAGGTTATTTTAAACCATTCAGTAAAATTCTGGCTTTAGTACTGAGGTAGAAACATACTTTTTTTCAAGTTAAGGATATATTACTCACTTTTTAGTTTTTTTTCCCTCAAGAGTGTGCTGAATTTTGTCAAAGTTCATATGATTTTCTTCCTTTTATCTTAACTTGTTCATTTCTGTTAACAATTTTTCTGAAGTTAAATCTTTTCATTTCCAGAAAAAATCCCCAACCTACTAAATCTTGATTAACTGTTGTTTTAAATATGTTAAATTTTAATTCCTAATGTTTTATTTATGATTTTTGTAATAATATTCATACATGAGTTTGTGTTGTGTATGTGTTGCGTGTGTGTATAAATCAGGTTTTGGTATCAAAGTTATACATGCCTCATAAAAAGAATTTACATGTTTTCTACTTTTCCTATGATTTAGAACCATACTGTTTAGTACAATAGTCACAAGCCACATAACGTCTTATGGCTATTGCGGTCTTAACTTGTGGTCTTAACTTGAAGTTACACTTTTAAAAAATTAAAAATTCAGTTCCTTAGTTACAGTAGCTGCTTCAAGTACTCACTGAATAGCCATAAGTGGCTGGTGACAACCACACTGAATAGTACAGATGTAAAATATTTCTGTCATCAAAGTAAGTTCTGCTGGGTATTGCTGAACTACAACTCAACTAGTACTGAGATTATCTGGTTCTTAAGGTTTTATAGATTTCCCTGTGAAATAATCTGCATACAGTGCAGTTCACTGAAAACTTTTATGTTTTCTATATATTTGTTTACACATTGTAATGCTACTCGAGTCGAATTCGGCAAGTAGTATTTTCCCATTTCACCTAGCTTTTCAAATTTATTTGCAGAGTTATTTCCCCTTTGCTATTTTTTTATTCTCTATATTGTGTTTACTCCATTTTTTATTATGCTGATGGTTTATCTATTTTGTTGATTTTTTTTCCACTAAAGGACCAGTACGATGATTTATTGCTTTCTTGTGTTCTACCTCATTAATTTATTATTTTTTCTTCTTCCTTTGTATTTACTTTGTGATTTTTTGCTTTGTGATTCTTTTTCTAGTGTTTTGAGTTAGAAATTTAAATACTTAACTCCTTAAATCATTCTTTCATTTATGTTTTGTCTATGGATGCTTTTGTATGGTTTGCAAGCCTAAAATTTTTACTATTTGATCCATTAAGAAAATCTGTCAAACCCTGATCTAGACCATGAGCATCAATGGCTGCTACATTATAAAATAAGACACAACCAGACCATATATGCTTCAATAAATACACCATCAATTAAATATTCTTATGAAAAAATTGACCCTGAGTCTGATCAAGTCTCTAGATCTAGCTACCAATTTCTATAGGACAGAGAAACATGTTTAATGGTATCTAAGGTATACAATCAGCAAAATATAACTGTGGGAAATTTTAAAGACAAATGACTTGGGTTTTTCAACAAGTAAATTACAAGGAAAAAAATGAGAAAGGAGAAGAACCAGTAGATTGAAAGAGATTTAAAGGATATAACCAACTGTAATGTGGGGATCTTATTTAGATTCTGATTCAAAGAAAATGTTGAGTGAGGCCAGGAAAAGAAAGGCAGAGGCAGAAACAAACAATTGGGAAAATTTAAATATTGACTGTCCTTGCCTATGAGATAGACATACTAAATATTAATATTTCATGATAAAATGATACTACATTTAGTAACTGGGCAGGAGGGGAGCAGGGAGAAGTATAGATATAATTAGATTGACTATGTATTGGTAATTATCAGCAATGAAGGATACATGGGCATTTACTGTGCTATTTTTTTCTGCTTTTGTATATGTTTGGAAGTTTACATAATAAATATCTTCTTTAAATAGGAGAAAATGTTAAACAAGCACCTGGAGAGCTCTTTCAAATGATACATCCTCTCTAACCTTCAATTAATCTAGTACAGCTTCATGAGGAGAATACAGTCCAAAGGCTATATAACCCATCTCTCTCCATCCCCCATTGAGACTCACTGCAATAGTGACTGACAGTAACTGATAAGATGGGCTAAATCCCTCAGGTATATTAAGGACAAAAAAGAAAAAAAAAGTGAATCTGATCTAGAAAAGAAAAATCTAATGAGGTTATTAAGTAAAATAATGAATTTTATTTAATAATAGATTCAAAGTGAGAAAATTCCAAGGATCAAGCGAGAATTTGTGAGAAAGAGATAGGAGACCCTTATAACAGTCATCCTTTCTACTGAGAAATTTTTTTCTCACTCCTTGTCATTATTAGAGGATTTTGTGAAAACTTTATGGTTTTTGTGATAGGTTAAGTGGCAAGACTTCCTTCCATTCTCTCTCTCAGGTAAATCAACACTGACAAAGAACAAAGGGTGTGGTTTCCTGTTAGAAAAAGAAAGTTTGGGAGAAGTTTGGATATCAAAAGCTAACACAGAGATGGAGATATACAAATTTTACAGCTCTTTTCATTTGGGTGTGCCTTTCTGTGGGCCCTTTTAAAATATATATATAAGAAGGAATAAGCAGGGAACCCTAGGCTTTGCCATAATAGAATGGTCAATTTTGGAAGCTAACTAATTGGGTAGCCAGTGCTTGGGTTTACTTACTCACCCAGGGGGGGCTGCAGCATACCCCCATTCTTTTCACAGTTCCCAATGGGCTGGATTTCAGCTGAGTCAACCAGCCGCCAGAAGTCATTCTTGTTGTCACTGCCATCAAGGCGCAGGCGAAGGCGGGCACCTGTCAGTCCAACTACTGTGGCAATACAGGTGGATGTGGTGTTCCTGGGGTCCTGTGCTTCCAATTTCATGCTGATCTTGAACTCGTTGCTTGGAGGTGTGTAGGACTGAGGAGAACAAGCCATGAAAATTAGGCAGACTAAAACATCAAAATTTATGTTTTGAAATTAAATTAGTTATACTCAGGTTAGGGACAACCCCTCTGAAACTACTCCCTAATAATAGGATAGGTTTCATGCAAAAGAAACGCTGAAAGATAATATGAAGGGGAAGGAAAAAAATACTTTCCACAGAAGTATCAAATAGATCCATACCAGTAAAAAACGGACAAGGGTGTCTTTTATAGTTCAGTTACTTTAATGTTTTCTACCCTATTTTCTCCAACTCCCTGTCCCTCTGGGTATAACATTTTCTTTTCAGGAACACTAAAATCTATTTAACTGTCATAACCTTAGTGTCTTTTCATGGAACATTTCTGTATATTGGTCTGTATATTCATCACACAGACTAACTACTGGGAATTGATTTTTTTCTTATTTTGACAATAACTTACAAATTAAATCATATAATTGATATACAACAAACTACTTTAGCAAGTCTTAACATATGCATACACCCATGCCACCACATGCACCCCTGAAAGAATCACCACAATCAAAATAATGAACACAGGCAGCACCCTCAAGTTCTCACATGATTCTTCTTCTGGCCTCTCAAGAAACCCTGTGCACAGGCAACCACTGATCTACTTTCTATCACTGTAGATTGGTTTGCATTTTCTATTAACAGTTTCAGATGGAATCACAGAGGATGTACTCTTTTTTTGTCTAGCTTCTTTCACTCAGCATAACTATTCTGATATTCATCTATATTGTTGAATGTATTAATCCTTTGCACTCGGATGTAGAATATGACTCAACACGGTTAGCGAAAATTATAGAGATTAAAATTACTCTTTGAGGCCGGCGCGTGGCTCACGCCTGTAATCCTGCTCTTGGGAGGCCGAGGCGGGCGATTGCTCAGGTCAGAGTTCAAACCAGCCTGAGTAAGAGCGAGACCCCCTCTACTATAAATAGAAAGAATTAATTGGCCAACTGATATATATATAAAAATTAGCCGGCATGGTGGCTCATGCTGTAGTCCCAGCTACTCGGGAGGCTGAAGCAGAAGGATCGCTCGAGCCCAGGAGTTTGAGGTTGCTGTGAGCTAGACTGACGCCACGGCACTCACTCTAGCCTGGACAACAAAGCGAGACTCTCGTCTCAAAAAAAAAAAAAAAAAAATTACTCTTTGAATGTTCAATAATTTGAAATATAAAAAATCCAAATAAATAAGTTTTATGAAAAAAACTCCAAGACGGGCGCGGTGGCTCACACCTGTAACCTAGCTCTCTGGGAGGCTGAGGCGGGCGATTGCTCGAGTCGGAGTTCGAAACCAGGCTGAGCAAGAGCGAGACCCCGTCTCTACTAAAATAGAAAGAAATTAATTGGCCACTAATATAATATAAATTAGCCGGCATGTGGCGCATGCCTGTCCCAGTATCGGGAGCTGAGGCAGCAGGATTGCTTGAGCCCAGGAGTTTGAGGTTGCTGTGAGCTGGTTGACGCCATGGCACTCACATCTAGCCGTGAGCAACAACGACGACTCTGTCTAAAAAAAAAAAAAAAAAAAAAAAAAAAAAAAAAAAGAAGAAACTCCAGTTTTTTATTCTACTGCTGCGCTTTGTAAATCTGGGGTATTTAAAAAAATAAATCCGAGTAGAATAAAGGAATTGAGAAAAAAGCAAGTGAGTGCAAAGGGCTAATAATTTATTTTTATTGCTGAGTAGTATATCATATTGATGGACATTTCGTTTGTTTCCAGTTTTTGGTGATTACAAATAAAGCTTTTGTAAACACTACCACAATCTTTGTATGAAAACAAACTTCCTTGCAACTATCTAGAGAGTGAATGGCTGGATCATATAATACAATATATGTTTACTTACAAAAAGACAATCCTCTTAAAGTGTATAATTCAATGATTTTTGTATATCTTGGAATCTTCCTATATTCAGTATATTACACAGAGTTGTGTAAACATCACCCCTATCTAATTTTTAACATTACCATCATCCCCCAAAATAAACCCATAACCCTTAGGAGTCACTCCTATTGTTCCTTTCAGCCCGCCTAGAAATCATTAATCTACTATCTGTTTTTATGGATTTGCCAATTCTGGGCATTTCATATAAGTGAATTACATAATATGTGCCAATATGTGAATGGTTTCCTTCACTTAGCATAACGTTTTCAAGGTCACCTACATCATAGCATTTATCAGTACTTCATTACTTTTCATTGTGAATATCCATTATACGGATATACTACACTTTGCTTATTCATAATCAGTTGATGGACATTCAGTCTTTCCCTCTTTTGTCTATTACGAATAATGATGTGATGAACATTTATAGTATTTTTCTTCTGTGACATGTTTCTATTGTTCTTGGTATATACTATGCTGGGTCATGTGGTAACTCTATGTTTAACATTTTCAGTAACCACTGAACTGTTTTCTAAAGTAGCTAAGAATCATAATACCACCAATGTACGAGTTCCAACCTCTCCATATCTTCATGAATACTTGCAATTGTCTGCCTTTTTGATGTTAAGAGTCACCTAGTGGATATCAAGTAAATTTCATTACAATTTTAATTAGCATTTCTCTAATAAGTAATGATGTCGAGTATCTTTTATGCGCTTATTGATCATCTGTGTATATTTGGTATATTTGGAGAAACATCTATTCAAATTAATCCCATTTATATAATAATTATGTTGTCTTTTTATTGATGAGTTATACGAGTTCTTTATATATTCTGTATATAGCCTTACCAGATACATAATTTGCCAATATTTTCTCCCATTGTGTGGGTTGTCTTTTACTTTCTGTTTTTTTGAGACAGAGTCTCGCTTTGTTGCCCAGGTAGAGTGAGTGCCATGGCGGCAGCCTAGCTCACAGCAACCGCAAACTCCTGGGCTCAAGCAATCCTACTGCCTCAGCCTCCCGAGTAGCTGGGACTACAGGCATGTGCCACCATGCCCGCTAATTTTTCTATATATATTAGTTGGCCAATTAAGTTCTTTCTATTTATAGTAGAGACAGGGTCTTGCTCTTGCTCTGCTGGTTTCGAACTCCTGACCTGGAGCAATCCGCCCGCCTCAGCCTCCCAGAGTTCTAGGATTACAGGCATGAGCCACCACGCCCAGCCTGTCTTTTCATTTTCTTGATGGTGTCCTTGGGAACACAAAATGTTTTAATTTTGATGTTCAATTTATCTATTTTTTCTTTTGTTACTTATGCTGTTGGTACGATGTCTAAGAAACCATTATCTAATATGATGAAGATTTCCTCCTGTGTTTTCTTCTAAGAGATTTATAGTTTTACCTCTTACATTTGGGTCTATGATCTACTTGCAGTTAATTTTTGTATGTGATAGAGAAGAAGGGCGCAACTTTGTTATTTTGGATATGACTATCAAGTTGTTCCTAGTTGTTGAAAATTCCGTTGAATTGCCCTGGCACCCTTGTCAGAAATCAATTGATGGGTTGATTTCTAGACTCTCAATTCTAATCCACTGATCTATACATCTATCTATCTTCATTCCAGAACCACAATGTCTTGAGTACTGTAGCTTTGTAGTAAATTTTGAAATCAGAAAATGTGAGTCCTCTACCTTTGTTCTCCCCTTTTAAGACTGCTTTGACTATTCTGGGTCCCTTGTATTACATGAAATTTAGGACTAACTTATCAATATCTACAAAAATAAAAAATAAAAAAAGCAGCTGGGATTTTGATAGGGATTGCATTGAATCCATAGATCAATTTGGGGAGTACTACTGTCAGCTATGTGATTTACAATTACAGTCATGCACCATATAATGACATTTAGGTCAATAATCAACCACATATATGATGGTGGCCCCATAAGATTACAATAGAGCTGAAAAATTCCTTTTACTTTGTGACACTGTAGCCATCCTAAGGTCCTAGCACAATGCATTACTCATGTGTTTTGTGGTGGCACTGGTATAAACAATCCTATTGTGCTGCCAGTCATGTAAAAGTATAGCACATACAATTATGTACAGTACATACTTCTTAATAATGACAATAAACAACTATGTTACTGGTTTATGTGTTAGCTATGTCATACTTTTAATTGCTTTTTTAGAATTTACTCTTCCTTCTACTTATACAAGAAAAGTTAATGTAAAACATCTTCAGGCAGGTCCAGAGGTATTCCAGAAGGCATTTTATCACAGGAAATGATAGCTTCATGAGTGGTATCTCCCCTGAAAACTTTCTAGTGAGATAAGATGTGGAGGTAGAAGACAGTGATATTGATGATCCTGATTCTGTAGATGTCTATGGTAATTGTATGTGTTTTAGTTTTTTAATAAAAAAGTTCAAAAGGTAAACAAAAAATTAAAAAATAGAAAAAACCTTATAGAATAAGAATACAAAGAAAGGAAATATTTTTGTACAGCTGTATAATATTTGTGTTTTAGGCTATTATAAAAGAGTCAAAAAGTTTAAAAAGTTTTTAAAGTTACAAAGTAAAAAAGTTAGATAAGCTAAGTTTAATTTATTACTGAAGAGAAAAACTTTAAAAATAAATTTAGTGTAACCTAAATGTACAGTGTTTACAAAGTCTACCCAGTAGTGTACATTAATGTCCCAGGTATTCATGTCCATTCACCATTTACTTACTGACTCATCCAGAGTAACTTCCAGTCCCCGCAAACTCTATTCATGGTAAGTGCCCAATAAAGGTGTACAGTTTTTTTTTTTTCAAGGTCCAAAGACAGTAGTATGGGTGTACAGTTTTTTAAATCTTTTATACTGTGTTTTTACTGTACCTTTTTTGTTTAGATATGTTTAGATACATAAAGACTTACCATTTTTTATAACTGCCTATAGTATTCAGTACAGTAACACGCTGTACAGGTTTGTAGCCTAAGTACAACAGGCTATATCATATACCATCTAGGTTTACGTAAGTACATTCTATGTTTGCACAACTACAAAATTACCTAACAATACATGTTTCAGAATGTATCCC